ACATATTGTGTTGTGGATTTGTTTCCAGGACTAAGTATTGTAGGGATCAGGCATTTGTTCCATACAGACACTGTATCTCATTCTGCTGCAGCAGCGCATCTTTATAAAGGCACACAAAATCTCCTGCTATTGCTACCTGCTTTCAGCTTCCTGCTCTCATTTAGCATTTTCTGATGACTATCATCATCTTGATAAGGAATTTGGTGGTGCATTCCTGGTACTATATTTTCATTATTAGATTATACGATGTCTGTCTACAAGGACTCCATAGTGCTTCTCTTCAGTCATAATATTTTTATGCTGTTGCAAGTTACATAGTCCTCTGTGCACAGCGCCACTCCTCCACCTGTGCATCCTACACTGTCATTACCATAAAGCTGGTAGCATGGCAACACAGGTTCCCATGGATTATCCTCTCTCCTGCAGGTGTCTGAGGCTCCCCTTGCACCAGGGCTGCTGTCTCATGCCAAGACTTCCAGCTCCCCCGTCTCCTTCTGGGCTTTGAGCATTGGTGCAGAACCACATGTAAGGTTTGCTTTTGCTCAGTCACTCAAGATAGCACGTGCCAGCCAACCAGATTTGCGGGAAGTTGGATTTGCCTTCCCTAGTTATTGCAGTTGAGTTTTATTTCCCTGCTGGCCTTGTTGGAGGTGCACTTGATGTCAGTTCAATGCCCTCGCAGGTCTCATTTGTCCAGCCCACTTGCTCCCCCATGCCCATCAGCTCCTCTGTTGCTTCTAATTAAACACTCCTCTGTACACCTTTTATTCTGCGGCGCCAGCAGCCTGCCTCCACTCTGAGTGCAGTGCAGTCTCTCATTTCTGTGCTGATTGCCTTTATCCCAAAAGATCCCTCAGTTCCTTATGTACCTAAATTTCTCCTCTCTTCTGTCTCATGCATGCACTGAAACACTGGGTCTGACCTGAGCTTCTCTCTCGCCTCGTAGCTGAGCCCCAAAGATCCCACCTTCATCCCTGGTGTCCACAGTGACTACAGCCACCACTGGCTCCTCTCCTGCTCCTGCCAAGAGATCTGCACAGATATCTCGTGAGATCTGCTCCCCAGGCAGACCTGCTCCTGCCCTGCTCCCGCTGAGCCATTCTTGCCTCAAGACAGCCAGCCCTGTCCCTCCATGTCCCCAGCCCCTTCGCCTGCCCACAGATGCACAAAACCTGTCCCAGGCAGTTGGCCACACACGTTGCACACTGGGCAGTTTATGGGGTAGCCCCCACTCTGCTGCTAGACTTCTACCTGCATCCTAAGCTTGAAATCTTACAGTTGTGGGCACTTTTATTAGTTTAGTATCTCCTCCAATTAAGTAAATCTCCTCTTACTTTTGTTCTATCAGTTCCCCACCTTGCTTGCACACCCATCCCTTTGTTACGGATGTTAGATTCATCTTAGACAAGGAATGTCTTTCTGTTATCTCCTTACTGTAAATTGCTAAGATAAAAGGCAAAATATTTATTCATGATAAATAGATGTCATTTACAATATATGTAATTTATAATAAAAGCTAAATATTTGTTTATAAAATCCATACTAATCAATCCGTAAATGTTTCTGAAAGACTTTACAGAGGTAAAGAAAAAAAACCACCCAAACTCTACATCTAATCTACTTACACAACAGCTATTTCAGAAAAGACTCCTTTTTACTTGGTCAGCTGACATGTTCTCTCTCATCTGCCAGGATGGTTGTCAGAGCCTTGGGAAATGCACCAGCTTCTTCTACTTGGTAGTTTTCATCAGGGAAACTCATATATAGAAAAATATCTCCTGCTAGGGATTTTCCATCAGAGAAATCTTGCAGTACTGCTTAAGAGAGACCCTCATTTCAGATTATCCCTTTCTGTCTCTCTTTTTTCTCAGAGGGATGTTAGGTCTTACTGCCAGTCTCCCTTCTGAAGTCTTTTAGGGGACCCTGTAGGTCCAATGTCCCACCTGAAATCCACCCTGTTTGTTCCTGACTCAGGAGACAGTCCCATCTGGACGCTCTTGCTGAAAACAAAGTTTATTGCCTGTCCTTAAATTTATCATTCTTTCTGTTTATCTAGGAGCCATCTCCTGGCCTTAGCTGTCTAGTAAACAGGTCTTGGCTTCAAGCAGGGATAAAATTCTCCCCTTCTGCTCTGTGGTAGTCCTGTGTGAAATATATCTCTTACTGCACCCTCCTATCTACATTGATCTGTGTGTTAAAACACAACTAAGAGGAGCATCTACATGTGGTAATTGCACAGGTTTTTCCTGATGCTCAACTAAGGGAAGGCACCATGGTGGTTAACAGCTTTCAGTTGAATGGTCTCCAGCCTCTTTCTCTTAGACAACCCATAACAGCTTGAAAGTTTTGTTTGAATAATTTGGAGAGGAGTCTGAGCCAGGTCCAAGGATGCTGAGTTTTCTGAATCACACATGTGCATCTAGTTTCCTAAAGGTCTTTAGCTGGAAGGAGAAATGAGGAGCATAAAATAGCTTTCACGGCAGTTGTTAGCTAGATAACCTTATGTGAAGAGCCGGAGCAAAGTGCATCAGCCTCTGTGCATGTAGTGCTCTCTCCAGGGTGCAGTGACCCAAGGGCTTTTCATCAACTGAATTTTTGTTGCCCTAGTTCTGTCCTTCAGCAGATAGCATTGGGCCGCAAGCCATCACTCGTAGTGCTCAGCAGGGCTTTGAATTTGTCCGTGCTCCAAGTTCTTCATCCTCATGTGGCTTCTCTAGCTCACACGTTTCACACGCAACAGGAATGCTTCAACAGGTGACAGATCTCTTCACTGATACTTTCTTGCGTTTCGGGATTTCTAAAGGCAAGGATGCTTGGGCCATAGCAAAACACAGTCAAAAGGACTCTTCTCTTTGAAGTGCCTTGGGCTGCGATGTTTCCCTGCAAAATGGGGAGATCAGCTTCAATCAGGAGAAAAGCTGGTCCTTGATCCCTGAAAACATGTATGTCAAACAGTCGCTTTGTACAGAAAACCAAAACCATTCAAAACTCCCCTGATTGTAAAAGATTTATTTAACAACAGATCCTCCTAACAGAAGTGTACCTTGTCTCTCCCCTCCATGATGAAAGAGGATCTTAAATGCGGAGAAGATTTCCTTTGGGAGCATGTGTTTACTGAGGCTGGGGCTTTGCTGACCACCAATTTTCAATTTGCCCACTTCCAGCCTTCAGCACTCCTAAGCTCAGTAGATATTACTATCTCTGTTTTCTGGAGGGGTAATGTCAAGCACTGCAGTGATGGGTGTGACAACAGTGTGAGCGAGTGTCCCCCTTCCCTGAGCCATCACACTCCCATCTCACGATGGGGGGGTGGGGGAGTAAGTCCTGCTCCATGGGAGCCCAGTCCAGGGGTCACACTTCCCATGCTCCCTGTCACAGTGGGGCTGGATAAAATGTGACTGCTGGGGCACATCTGGTTTCTATATTAAGGGATCCAGACAGACTCTGAGACATCACCCTGAAGATATCATGGGCTGCTCTGAACACAGCTGACTCCCACGCCATGGCTTGAGTGAGACATCACCCTGAAGATATTATGGGCTGCTCTGAACATAGCTCAGACTCCCACACCATGGCTTGAGTTTGCAAATTAGCTCCTGTTTACAGCTCACAGGAATACTGCACTGGGTAACTGGTAGTCCGCGCACTCAAATCTAGAGCCCACTTTTCCCTCTAGGTAGACTCCACATGTGCAAATAAATTAATTTCAAATTGTGAAGCCAGTGAAGTCCAGAATAAGAGATATGATGCAGTCGTGTGCCATCAACCCGACATCACTCTCACTGGACAAATTAAAAGCTTCTTTTTCATGCATCTAGAAATGCCAAGTAGTTCTGTTTTTTAGGCTAAAATTTTCCATGCTTCATCTCTAGAACATGTTGGCAGATGCAGAGCAGGAATTGCTCCCACTATTAAACAAGTAGCAATACTGAAACCCTCATTTCAAAATACTACTAGATGCAGGTCAGCTAAGAGCAGAAATCAGGAATTCAGCAAGGAAATAAACTCTGACAAGAAAAAAAAAATATTTAGAGTGTTTTAGTGATGAGTTGTTTTGATTTGATTGAATTATAGCTTCATAAGAGGAAAAATGTCACTCTCTGTGAACACAGCCCATTTTCTCTCAGGCCATTTTCATTAGGGCTGCAAACGTGGGCTGCCCTGGAAGCCGCAGTGCGTGTAGGTGACTGTCTGATGCAGAGCAGTTGAGCACAAAAAAGACGGAGAAAGTGGTAAATGAAGCAAAGGCCCCACAAAAAGAGACACAGAAAGCCATCAGAAACTTACAAGAAAGAAGAAATACAGTGTAAGGAGGAAGCAGTTAAAAAAGGAACCACGCATAACTAGCACAGTATTTACACAGTGTTTAAAGTCAAAATGTCCTTAATTTATACATTCTGATGTAAATCAATATACCTCTGATAGTGCTTGGGAAAGTTCGGTGACATGCTGCCAACAACACGCTAGAAAAATTTCACTAGTTCCAAAAGGCAAATTCAGTTCTTTTGGCTTTTTGTCCTAATTTGAAATACCGATTTACCAGCAGACAGTGATTTCTTTTCTGATCGGGTTTTGATGTTTCCGTGGCAGCTAGGTGGAACTCAAAACCTTCTTGCAACAAAATGGCTGACAGCAAGTTGGCTTGTTTTGCGCAGAGAAGATCAGAGAGAGATTGCCATTAAAACACAGACAGAGCACTCGGCTTTAAAAGGCAGCACTTTCATTGGTTGAGACAACCAGCTGCTGTAATACTGAAACTGTTTAGAGATGACTTGGGACTTTACGCCTTGAGACGTGTATTTACTGGGGCATCACAAGTGATTACTTATTACCAAACCTTTACTTCCCATGACCCTCTGCATCTTGCAATTTCTACCCTCAGCAAAATAGTCCCGAATAACTGAGCTCCTTGCCTGGCCTGTAACCCAGCACTCATACCACTTCTTTTTACTTTGCCAGAAAGACGGAGAGACTGTCTCTAGACTACGAATACTTCTGAGATGGCACTAGACGACAACTTCACCAACAGCTCCTTCAACTGTACAGTTGATGGCTTCAAGCAAGTAATTTATCCCATCACGTATCTCTCTATCTTCTTTCTGGGTGTTGTTGGAAATGGCCTATCCATCTACGTTTTTCTCCAGCCTTCGCAGAGGAAGACCTCAGTAAATATTTACATGCAGAACTTGGCAGTTTCGGATCTCATGTTTGCGATCACTTTGCCCTTTCGGGCCACATATTTCCTGTTGGGATCACGTTGGATATTTGGTGATATCGTCTGCAGGATCATGACTTACACCTTGTACGTGAATATGTACTGCAGCATTTATTTTCTCACCGTGCTCAGTGTGGTTCGTTTCATAGCCATCGTCTACCCTTTCAAACACGGGAAAGTAACCAACATGAAGTATGCCAAGATAATATGCGCAGCCATATGGGTCTTTGTGCTGGTAGCTTCCAGTCCTCTGCTTAGCAAGAAAATTGCTGGGTACAGCAACCCAGCCAAGTGCTTGGACCTCCACCCCTCCAGCACGTACAGGCTCCGCATGATGAACAGCTTTGTCCTCGTCGTGGGCTTCATTCTGCCGTTTTGCACAATTATTGTCTGTTACGTCTTTGCAATCAAAGTGTTGCTCAGGTCCAGGGCTCCACAGCCCAAGAAGGCAATCTGTCACAAGAAGGCACTGTCAACCATCATCATCACACTCATTTTCTTTCTCCTTTGTTTCCTGCCGTATCACATACTGCGAACTGTCTACCTGATGGACAGCAGGTGCAGCCAGGCCAACCTGCCCTTGCACAAAGCACTGGTGGTCACTCTCTGCCTTGCTGCCATGAACAGTTGCCTTGACCCCATCCTCTATTACGTTGCTGCTGAAAATTTCAAAGCAAGAATCAGAAGTTTGTACCGCAGGTAGCTGATATAGAATTGCAAAATGCTATATATACGGTCCCAACACGACATCAAGACTGGGTTCATACTATTCAATGGCAGAGGCTGTGTGGTGCTAACCAGCCTGTAGCCATGCTGCTCAGTGCCAGGCACCTCTAGAGCAATAGTGTCCTGGAGAGAGCTCGTTGAGGGGGACCAAAACGGAGGCAGGATGATCTGAGGTCAGGTGCCTGGGTGTGATCCCTGGTTCTCTTCTGTTTAGCAGTGTAGATGTACCTCTAGTGTTTGCTCTCACCAGGACAAGGGATTGAAAGGGATTTGCCTTGCTACTAGAGTCCGTTTATTTAATTTCACAATGCTCAACCAGTGACTTGACGGGAAACTGCTCACCTGGCCATCCCAGTGTCTGTGTTTGAACCTCTCCGTGCTCCGCTTCCCTGTGTGTGCAGAGGTGCGTGGTTCAGACTCGGTGATACCCAACAGATTCATAGTGCCCTGCCAGTTCCCGTTGCAAACACTGGCCAAAGGTTTGCACGTAGCAGAAATGTAAAGCATCACTGATACTTTCTGCTGAGGCTGACTTACAAAGCAGACAGAGAGCCAAACAGGACCCGGCACTGGCTCAGGCTGTTGATAAGGCATTAGCATTTCTAAATTTTCACTCTCAGGAGGCCACCGAGGTATTCTGTTTAACATTTCACTGATAGTCAGACGAGATAATAATTTCAAGCGAACAGCATCGTCATGGACCGCTATGAGTAAGACGAGTGCTGGCAGCGAGGGCAGGATGCGGGCGAACGGGGCGCCGGGCTGCACCTCCCAGGTCTTCATGTGTGCCACAACTCCTTCGAGGCAGTGGAGATGCTTGTTTCTAGGCTCAGTGCTGCCAGTGCTTTTCTGAAAGCTGAGGTTAGGCAGCTCAGTCCCCATCCAGGGATCCAGAGGCAAACTTTCAAAATTATTTCTGTCCAAAAGAGTATCTAGGTAGTGGTTTTCTCCAAACAGGTAAACCAGTCTGACAGAGAACTGCTGCCCAAGGCACCCCTAATCCCTCACCTCCTGCCCGCTCTGAGGAAGAAACTGGTCCCTTTTTTCACAGGATTAACTTCCAGTTGCTTTGAACTCCCTGGCATCAAAAATGCACCAATACAATGGGCAAGCACTAAGCCAGGAACAGGAGGAAGGACAGGCAGGATAAGAGGAGGAGGGATGTTTTAGGAAACAATGAGGAGCTCCACCTCTGTGTACTTTGGGAAGTCTCACCAAATGGTTGCCTGCATTTTTAAGTCTCCGGATATTTTCTAGAATACATTTGCTAAAAATCAGACCACTTTCAATTCAAGGAAAACAGGCTCTGAATTCAGTTTGACCACAGTTACACTTTGGTTTAATTATCTCATTTTTTAATAAAAAAAAAGCCAAGAAGTTTTGTCATATTTTCCAGGAAAGTAGCCTGTCCCATATGAAAACTAACAAAAATTCTGAAAGCCTTCCCTTTCTGTGAAATCCAGCCAAAGGAAGGTTTCTGTCAGTGAGGATACCTTCTCAATGCTCTGGACTTTTTTTTGAGAAAGGACTCTATAAACTGAGTGTTATTGCTCCCAAACAAAAATAATTGCAGCTAGCTATTTTCAGCTCTGTCTGAAATATGCAGAAAACAAATTACTGCTGGTCAGGTGGAAAAGTACTTAGCAAATCACTGGGAAAGTCACATTTTTCTTGGCTATCTAAGGGTTATGTTCAATTGCAGAGTTAATCTATTTTGGTCACTTTATGCTGCCTTTGATGTAAGCACAGAGTTTTATCATAAGTCTTCACTAAAGTTCATGCTCCAAATCCTCATTTCAATAACTCAGTCACATACCTGAGAGCTGACCTAATGATGCCATGTGAACTCCTACAGTGCTTGGTCCCATGCTATTGAAGGAAAAGGGAATATTACCACTGGTTTGCAATGGGAACGGGATCAAGGTGGTAGCCTGTGCAGACAGATGGGGTAAATAATTAGAAAGAAGGGGGCAAACTCTTTTTCCATGGTTTTCCCCTGTCAGGAGTAGACCTGAGCAAGAACAAGTGACAAGCTTGGAGCCTCTGATGAGATACTGTACACCTTAAATACTACAAGGGAATAGAAAAACTCAGCCACAGTCTAATCTCACTAACGTGTTTTTGTCTGCATCAATTCAATGCATTCTATTATCAGATAATTTTACATCTAGAGGATATATATATCTCTCACTTATAAGGTCACTTTTTTTTTGTATTGACCATGCTACAACTTTGTTAGTCATTGAATTAACTGTCAAACCTGTGTTTTAATAAACTATATATATTTACTAGTTGCTGAAGACATGTTTTTTATTGATTGCACCGCTAACAAGGAGTCTCCTCAGAGCGCGGGAGGAGAAAAACCAAGAAACAGACATTGAGTCTCTGTAAGTGGGCCATTGTTTCACAAGAGAGGTGTGAGAGTATCCTGCTGCCTTCTTCACCAGCAAAATCACGGGGAACATCAGTCAAAATCTGGGGTGCAGATAAAGTAATAGATTTTTAAAAAATTATTATTTATTTTCAAAAGGATTCAAGACTATCCTTATGAGGGTTCCTCATATGCATAACATGCCCTGTTCCCATTTACTGCCATTTCTCCATCTGGCATCCTTGCATGTCTCCATTCATGGAGCTGAAGACCAGGGCTCTTCGCTATAGAAGCATCATGGTAAAAAAAGTAATAAAAAAAGAGACACCATATTTATTCTGAAAAATAAAGCTCCTGACAGTTAAATTACTAGCAATGCCTCTAGGTCCCTCAAGGGACCACCTACCCCTTAAAAAGTATTTTGATATGTTTCCTCAATTTTCCAGGAGACAAAATCTAAGAATAGCTATGCACATAGAAAGTTAAAGCAACGGTAAACTTTTGAGCTTGAAGGAGACATAAGAACAGGAAACGAAGTCTTTAAGTGACTGGTACCCCTAAGTGACAGCAAATTTTCTAGTTTCATATGCATGTTTTCCAGTCATTCAGAGAAACTCTGGTATTTCTAGACAGAGATCACTTTTCAGTCCAAAGCTACGCCAGCAATATAGAGAGATTTTTCTGAAGTAATTTTGCTGCAGCCTGAACCACTTGACCCTCAGCAGAAGGAAATCCCACTCTTCACACTTGCTTTTTAGCCCTGGTTCAGGCCCATGTGTGACTGCGTTTGCCTGATGGAGTGGTGTCGCAGCAGGCAGGGGAGCATCACATTTTTATTTTACGCAATACATTTACCCCATTCATTTTCCTCTGCCTTCCTCAACATACATCCTGTTACCATAGCTTACATTTTGCTTTAGCTCCTAAAAGCATCTGGAGAAAGGGGTGCACATTTTGCTGCTTAGCATCTCCTTCTGAAGTGCGTGTTCCTCTATGCTACAACAGCATGTTGTGCTGGCAGCAGAAAAGACATCAGACTTTTTGCTCCCCGTCTTAGGGCTGTTGATGGTTCTCTTGGTCCTTTAGGATGGGCAAGATAGAAATGATCCATTGTGCCTCCAGGTGACAGGAGCAGAAATAAGATCCATCTAACCAAGTGTAATCACAGTTAGGAGGAGTCAGATGCTGTTTCAACAGTGACATCATCCCTGGGCTAATGTTTTGATTTCCTACATCATGTTTGAGCCAGTTTAAATATCAGCCTATTTAAAAGGCAGTGTAAAAGAAGTGCAAGTGCAGATTTCCTGAGAGAGTCCAGTATTGTTTGAGGTGCTTCAGCTTTCCGGATAGCACTGACTGTGACCTGCCAGGCGTTCTGACTGTCCCCATGTGGATATGCAGTCCTATACTTCTTATACAGTTGTGCTGTGTATATACAAGAATCTTTCTGGACATCTGCAAAGATAAGCAATATATTGAATTGCATACAGCTGATGTTATGTAGTTACATCTCTTTGTCCACCAGTCAACAACTTAAGGAGGCCAAAGAAATTAAATAGCTTCCTTTGTCCCAAATTCCCTTTTCACCTTTCAGAAAAACTGGCCAAATTTCCACCACTGCTCCCCTCCTTATGATTTTACAGTTGAAAGGATAAAGCTGCCTATAGTGAGGGCCAAAGCCTGGTTGCTCGAGTCGCATTGTAGTTACATCTCTTTGTCCACCAGTCAACAACTTAAGGAGGCCAAAGAAATTAAATAGCTTCCTTTGTCCCAAATTCCCTTTTCACCTTTCAGAAAAACTGGCCAAATTTCCACCACTGCTCCCCTCCTTATGATTTTACAGTTGAAAGGATAAAGCTGCCTATAGTGAGGGCCAAAGCCTGGTTGCTCGAGTCGCATTCATTTCTGATGCTGAGAAATAAAACTCTGGACCTTGGTTCACCACCCATGTTGCCTCACACAGGGCTTGAATGCTTGGAGTGGCAGCTGGCAGGTTCACTCATCAGGTTTGCTGTCCACATTTCCAGATGTTAAGATGTTGAACATGTTGACTGTTGGATGATACTATGTCTTCTTCTGAGCAGTCTTGGTAGATGCAACTGCGAGTGATTCACTTAGAATGGAGCTGTGTTTCACAACATAAAAAATTTTGGGGAAGGAAGTCCCTGAAGAGAGGATCTTCTTACATTATTGCCAACTTTCAGTTCTGGAGGCAGGGAGCCTGACTGTCTCTGGCAGGCCAGCTCCAGGCCCCTTCTGAGGTCCAGCCCGAAAAGCCCTCCACAGCAGAGAAATCCCTGCTTGCACTTGGCTTCTTCTTGCAACTAGTCCCTTACCAGAGTTTCAGGATGTTTAAGGGTGCTTTGCTCATTGCTGAGATACTGCTTGCATGCTTCAAGTTAGTTTTTTTTTACCTTGGCAACTGCAAGGACAAACAATTCAGAAAGAATGAGAAAAATAATCCAGCTCAAGAGCCATCATGCATCTTCTGAAGTCCTTTATTACTGCAGCTGGAGCAGTCTTTTCTGGTAGTCCCTCACCACTAAAAGAGAAAATATAAACCCAGGTCAGGAATGTGAGTATGCTTTAAAAAACAGTGCTCTCTG